GTATTACAAATCATTTATGCCGAGCGGAGCGAGGCTAAAAAAAATTTGAAGGGTTTTCGAGCCGCTGAAGGCCCCAAGTTGCTATAGAACTAATGATGCAAAATGTGTTTCCCATACCCTTTTTTAATCTGATATTGAAAGTTCTGTTTTAATCATTTTTTGACAATATTTTGGTCTCAAAGTAACATGTATAGATTAAGTTTTTAGGAACAACATCAAAAGACAAAGATAAAGCAAAAATTTAATTCACATAGTTTAAGTATGTGGCTGCTGTTTTTTTTAAACTCTTGATCAAGTTAATAACAAAATTACTAAATTACAAAAGGAATGCAATACTAACAGAATACAGAAGGGTAATCAATGAACAAAAGACAAATAAATAAGAAACATTGATCCCCAAAAACCAGGAGCTACGTCTGAGGGAGAACAGAACTTGCTTCTTGCAAGACACTTGCCGTGAAAACAATTTGATATGAAGACAAGCTTTTGGTTTTGAAATTTCCTACATGAGGCATTTGCCTGAATGTAGTTACTGCCATATGTAATAAAAGTGAGTTACATTTGTAAGTGTTCCTGAGACAATATACCTCAAGTTAAATGAAACCTCATTTTTCAGACATTTCAAGTATTTTAAATAATATTTATACTTTTATTATTCAAAGATTTGGGAAGTGATTCCCGATTTTTTTTGAAAAAAAAGTTGGATTTTATGAAGAATCTGGTGCAATCTCATGCTCTCAAATAGACCTGCCGAGTTATTTATTTTTAATACATTGCAAGTCAGGTTATTTATTTTCAAACTACCACAGAACAAACCATTTATTTTAGTGATTATCAAGGCTGAGTTATTTATTTTCAAAATCCTCCTGGCCCCCCCCAGAATATCAAATGGTCGTCCCCTTAGTTTAATATGCTTTGAAATAATTGTCATTCAAGACCAACAGACAAACGGAACAATCCAAAATATGGTAGCCAGTTACCCCGAAGCCATGGGGTAACTCGCCACTTAAGATGTGAAAATTCATTCAAGATCCTTCTCTTATCATTGAATATAAACATACATTTGCTATTGGTATTTCAAGCACACCCTATACACTTAAGTTTCACATAATGATAAAAAAGTTTCACCAAAGATTTGAGGGAAAGATGCAGTAGCTTGAATAGTTCTTATGGTGGCGAGTTACCCCATGTTCTCCTATGCCACGCTCCATATCGTACATAAAAAAGAAACTTTTTTCCCCCTACAGAAGGTTAATTAACTTTCCCCTCTCTACCAATCACTCCCCGTTTCCTGTAGTCTAAAAAAGTTTATAACCCCCTTATTAACCTAAAAAAACACCGAAAAACTGCTCCGTACTAACAAATTTACTTTTACATCGACATGAAACTCACTGGAAATATAGTTTATGTAGCACATCGTACTTCAGCGTTACCGCCATTGCACTTCGGCGTACATTTAGCTATTAACAAGATAGCGTCACAATGCCACCATCGTACTTCAGCGTGATCAAAAACGCACTTAAGCGCCATATCATCGCGGTTCAGAGTCCTACATGGAACGCCTCAGTTGTCTTATGTGGAACTCTGATATTACTTTATAACACTGTATTAATTAAATTTGGAGTAATTATTTAATTTGGAATTTAACTAAATCATGGATTTCATGGATATTTACATGTCAGAGCTTGTTACCATGGTAACAATAGTTGACCAATTAAATATCACATCATGGAAAAAAATCCCATGCAGCACACAGACCTATTGATGAATATAAATCCTGTGCGCCGCACAGACCAAGTGAAGATTATAAATCCTGTGCGGTGCACAGACCAAGTGAAGATTATAAATCCTGTGCGGCGCACAGACCAGGTGAAGAATATAAATCCTGTGCGACGCACAGACCAGGTGAAAACTATAAATCCTGTGCGGTGCACAGACCAACTGAAGATTATAAATCCTGTGCGGCGCACAGACCAGGTTAAAACTATAAATCCTGTGTGGCGCACAGACCAGGTGAAAACTATGAATCCTGTGCCGCGCACAGACCAACTGAAGATTATAAATCCTGTGCGGCGCACAGACCAGGTGAAGATTATAAATCCTGTGCGGCGCACAGACCAAGTGAAGATTATAAATCCTGTGCGATGCACAGACCAGGTAAAGACTATCAATCCTGTGCGGCGCACAGACCAAGTGAATACTATAAATCCTGTGCGGCGCACAGACCTGGTGAAGAATATAAATCCTGTGCGACGCACAGACCAGGGTAAAGTTACATATTGTGTCGCATAGACCAGGTGAAGACTACAAATCTTGTGCTCCTCATAGATTTAATTAGGAGATGTTAGCAAATTCACAGAAGTGAAAATGGTAATAAATGCTGTGTACCACACAAATAACATCTGCAAAAATCAGGGAATGGTAAAACAAATCCTGTTTAAAGCACGGTTGTACTTGATTTGCAATTAGAAGCTCTTCTTGTTGTCCATTTTGGATTTTCTAAACTAGTATATCTGGAGATTCCTTGATTTATTTGCCCGGTTTTTTTTTAAACTAAACTGATAAGGTTGTTCTTTTAAAAATTAGAAGCTTTGCTATGTTGTCTCATTGGGATTTTACCACATATCCCTGATTTACTTGCAATCACTTGCCAGTTATTTGAACTAAAGTGATAAGGATGTACATTTAAAAATTAGGAGCTTTGCTTTGTTGACTCATTGGGATTTCGACATATTCCTGATTTACTAGCCATTATTTTTGGTACTAAAATGTAAAGTTGTACTTTTAAAGTTAGCAGCTTTGCTTTGTTGTCTCATTGGGATTTTCCGCATCTACCTGATTTACATGCTAGCTCGGACTTCTCTTAAACTGAGTTTTACTGTGCGTATATACTGTTGTACGTTTGTTTTTTCTACATTGGCTAGAGGTATAGGGGGAGGGTTGAGATCTCAAAAAACATGTTTAACCCCGCTGCATTTTTGTGCCTGTCCCAAGTCAGGAGCCTCTGGCCTTTGTTAGTCTTGTATCATTTTTAATTTTAGTTTCTTGTGTATAATTTGGAGTTTAGTATGACGTCCATTATCACTGAACTAGTATACATATTTGTTTAGGGGCCAGCTGAAGGACGCCTCCGGGTGCGAGAGTTTCTCGCTGCATTGAAGACCCATTGGTGGCCTTCGGCTGTTGTCTGCTCTATGGTCGGGTTGTTGTCTCTTTGACACATTCCCCATTTCCATTCTCAATTTTACTTTGTACAAAAAGTGTTACGGTTGTATTTTTAATGATTCATGCTTGATGATGTATTCGAATCTTTATTGTTGACATTCTTTAACATGTCATGTGAAGTTTTATACTACTCTTGATATAGCTGTGAAAAAAGAAAAAATTGTTATTCCTGGAAAATGATATTAACCAACAAATAAAACATGTGCAGTTGTAGTTTGATAACAATTTTTTTTTCTCAATAAATCTATGAAAATGATAACAATAAAATACAGGCTTAAATATTGTACATAAACATGAAGCACATTTTGTTTACAAGTTATATCAGGATTTACATGTTTAACAATTTTAGTTTAATAAAAATATTCCAGATTTTTTCTCCCCTCAACACTGTTCTTAACATAATCTACATCTACATCTATAGCTTTCATTTAAATATATCAACATTATTCCAGCAGTCAATTCATTTATGCCAAAAATAGGATTTTACCAACGTATATTTTAGGATTAAACAATACCTTCATTAACATGTAGTATATAAACAAGAATCTGTTCATAGTACACAGATGCCCCACTCTCATTATCATTTTCTATTGGGACTATTAAAATTAGAAAGACATATCATGGTCAACATGTGTACTAATTTTCAAATTGATTGAACTTCAACTTCCTCAAAAACTACCTTGCCCAAAAACTTTAACGATAAAAGGGGATAGACAGGCTTACACACAGTCCAAAAATCTAATGCCCCTCTACTAGTAATATCCTTGGTGGGGCATAGAAAAATTAATTTTAGTATTTTCTAACACTAGTGAAGTAATGGACAAAAAACACTTTTTTTATATAAAAAAAAAAAATCACCCAGATGAAATCCTTTACAGAAATTTAATATTGAATGCATTATGTACTTCATACTGTAAGAAACCCCAGTTTAATTGAACAAAAATACAGAAAATTTATTTAAATGAAAAAAGTAAAAAAATTGATTAAATTCTTAAATGGCCAGGTTGTTTTAATGAGGTTTGAATAAGGATTATAGTTAAAAACTGAGGATATAATTTCGAAATTTTTTTACCATGTTTATAAATTTTACTGGAAAATAACTGTCTCACAGTATGAAAAACTGTTAATAAAATCATCAAAGATGTATAGAAGGTTCCTAATTAGTTCCCGGGATCTGGGTTGAAAACTGTAGTAAATTGATTACGCAAATTATGTATTCATTTTTAATTTTTCATGCCTACCAACCTGATATCATCATACAAAAGACCTGTTTTTGACATCGTCAAACCCTGTCGGAAATCAATTCTTAATCTAAATTTTCTTGCACTCATACTTGTACTTTCAGAATGACAAATTTAAATTAAAAAAAAAATGCTTCACATTCAGGAACAAAGTTTTGCTGTTTTTCCATGTGGAAAATGATATCTGACAATAAACGGGTCACCTCAAAGTTGTTTTTAAATGAGTTTATATAATATGAAGTGGGAAACACCAAAAATGAATGGGTCAGTCTTGCCTACATACTTGCATTGTACTACTTACAGTATAAAATTTACAAGTTTCTTAGATGTTTCGATATTAATATAGGAGATAATCATTTTGAAAATGAGCGGATGAACATGACAAAAATAATTTGTCTCCCCACATTGACTTATAGAAAAGATTTTTTCCAAACATGGTAAGAAGCTTATTAAAATAAATATGATATGAGATCAAGTTTGAAGTTTTGTGCTATAATATTTTTCATTCAAAAATTATTGAATAAAGAATGGGAATATGTCTAAGAGACAGCAACCCAACCAAAATGTATAAACAACTCAAGGCAACCAATGGGTCTTCAACAGACAAGAACTCCCTATACAATTGGGAGGGTAAAATGCAGGACACGTAATATATAAGCTTAATCTCTAAAGTTAATTTATAAGGTATGCTGGTTTCTAAAGTTATTGTTCATGTTGTTTGCAAAAATTTATTTTTTAATAATATTGATAAACTTCCATAAATTCAAATAAGTGTTTTTTTCCAATTTTGTGTTTTGGTCTAAAAAAAGGGTGTTTTAAGTACATATGCATATTAAATAATAATATTTAGCATTGATAATTCTTAAATTTTGACTTGAAGTTCATGACTTTTACAAAACTCTTTTACATTTTTAGGTAAGAAACCCCCCTTTGTTAAACAAAAGCTGTTCCTCATGATTTCTGTTTTGCTGATTTTCTGTGTCCATGCTTCCCGTTTTCCTTTTTTCCCTTGTATCATTCTACTACATGGCTTCCATGGTTTTGTTTTGGAACCTCTGTACCAATGTATCATGCAGGTCTCCTCATCAAAATCAATGACTTGGGCAACTTGAGGCCACTCCTTCTTATATTCCACTAGGTTTAGAAGGACCATCTCCCCTATGCTTACGGTAATTGTATTGTTATCACCTCGGCTATCAGATTTCTTTTTTCCAACAACAAGCTAAAACAAAAAATTTATAGCATTATAAACTTCCACAATTTTAGAAAAAAATTATTATAGGATTAAACGCCTTTTCAAAGGAATTTATTGGTGTATAAACTCGACCAATTCACTCACAAACAAATAAAAGTCTGAATTGTTCTATTTTATACACCAATTAATCCTTTAAAATGTGTTGAATCCTTATAATTCTTAACATATGAGATAAGAAATTTATTTTTCCACACTTGTTACCTCTATCACACGCAAATTGTATATTTGTGTCATTGTATTGGCCTGGCGCATGAATATATTTGTTGGTTACTTCAAAAATATGTACTCCGTGAAATTTGCTCTCTGATTTATATCAACAACAAAAACTCTATTTTATCATTCAACTGAATGTTTTGTGTTTATTTGTTAATTTAACGATTATTGCAAAGTGAAAATAAATATTGTAACGTCGAGCATGATTGTGTTAATATCACCGCCATTTTGTTTACATTGGTTACAAAAAGAAGTTCGGTCAACGTCGTCTATCGAAAAATAAACAACGTCAAGAACAACTTCCAGAAGTCCTCTCCACCACCACCAATCATATCAATGTATTCCCTAATATGCAAATCATATAAGAATTATTGTTTACTAAATCTATGTTTAAGAACACATTTGGTTGTTGAAGAGAGGGGGTTTAATATTAACCAAATATAATTTGTAACTGACCAGGTCTTATTTGTTCTAGCAGACTTCCTGAAAAGCATTTTTTGTCAAGTCAAAAAAACATATGTTTTCATGGTTCTTGTTTAAATCAATTAATCTTTATAATTATAGTGAGTCTTTCCATTTCTTGTTGTAGTTTGTGTTGGTAGTTTGTGTAGGTGTTTCTTGGTTTCTCCTTTTGTATATAAATTAGACTGTTGGTTTTCCTGTTTGTATAGTTTTACACTGGTCAATTAAAGTCCTTTTATAGCTTGCGGTTCGATGTGAACCAAGACTCCCAGTTGAAGATAGTACTGTAACCTATAATTGCTTTAATACTTATACTATATTGTGTCTTGGATACAGAGTTGTCTCCTTGGCACTTATATCTTCTTATTAATTTTGGTAGAAGTTTATAAGTTTAAATTTTTATATACTAGTATACAAAATGAATTACCTGAGGAATTGGTTCATCTTCATCTGACACATCACTTAACTCTGAATCACTCAACTCTCTAATGTTAGAGGTTTCTTTCAAATCTCTTTCCTTGGCTTTCTCAATCAACTCAGTCAACGGCCACACTGCTTCTTCGGGAGATTCTGTGACAAAAAAAAAAATTTTATATGTATTTTTTTTGGTATGTTTAAAACAGAATAAACAGCTGCACCATGAGCGCATGATACACCCTCACATTTTCAAAGAACAAAGTTCAAATACTTCTCAATGTCATATTTGAAATTTATGAAAATCATAAGGGAGATTACATGAATAGATATAAACAATTCACCAAAGTTTCTTGAGAATTGCTGAAAGCATTTTTCAGTTATTGTCGGAAACTGGAAAATCCCCCCTTTTTTTTAATGAAAAAACCCCATTACACAGAAATTTAAAATCTAAAATTTATAAAATTCTAAAGGGAGCTGAAATCAACAGATATTAACAATCTATCATGGAAAATTATTTTTATATTGTTTGAGGCTTGATAATGCTGAGTTGTGTTGTAGCACGTGTAAAGAATCTTCAAATCTCTGCTGCAGATACTTCTTTTTGGCAGATAGTTTAGAATTTAACCACTGTATTTGTACAAGGAAAATTCCCCATTACGAATACCATTACCTGTGCCAATTATCTTTTTAGAGAGCAAACAGTAGTATAGAAGGAATGCATTATACAATTTGGCCTTTACGAAAAGTTAATATTCCAAAATTATTTTGTCTGTAGGCTTTTTCAAAAGAAATTAAAATTTATTTTTTTTGTTAATCATATAAACTTAAATTAGTACTGACCATTACTAGAAAGATCTGTGAAAAAATCATTCCACCACTTTTTATCTTCCTCTCTCTTGAAGTATGAAAATGAACCAATGATATCATTCTTTAACTTTGTCAGGTCTATTTTGTTGTAGTTGGGGATGATAATTGTTGGAGAGTCCTGGGGAACACCAAGAAGAAGTTGTTCCTCTGGTTCTTGCCAAGTCTGAAATAGATTTGATATTTTTTAACCACATTTTGTGATAGTATGTGAATCATTCTAAGGCAATTTTTTGTATCAATGGTTCTGATTGGATGACAGTAAGCGTAAAATTCTCCATCTCCTTGTGTGTAACTAAGGAAGCCGACATTTTGAATTGCTGAATGTCTTTACATGTAATTTCTACAATAATAAGCAAAAATAAGAAATGTTGCACCTTAATAACTTCTTTTCATCAAATTTTATTAAATTCTGAAGTGGCCAAGAAGCCAGAAAATGCCTGGTGTTTACGTTTGATGCCGGAAGCATACCTATGACATCACCTAGTGTAGGGGCAAAAGAAGATAACATCTCTTTGCTGAAGTTTCTTTATTTAAAATTTTTTACTGAAAGAATTATTGAAATTGAATTATGTACTTTTTTGCATTAGAATAGAGATAACTGTATTGTACTTGAAGCTTTGTGGACGTCACAAAATATAAATATGTTTACCTGCTATGAATTTGCTAGGTAAACTAAATTTGTGACAGTAAAACTACAAATGGACGTCCGCAAAGCTTCAAATACATTACAGTTATCTCTTAATGTTAATACATCTTTAAAAGTGCTCCAGGTTTCCTGAAATTTGAGCCATTCTGTCCTGACTTATTTAAATTCAACCATTATTTCTAATGTGGAGAAGATATCAAATTAGAAAGTCCAGTACAAATCTTCTTTAATTGATGTCCCCAAAGCATACTGTTCCTTAAAGTTAAAGTGACAAACAGAATATTTTAAGTATGACAGATCTTTCAAATGTGTTGGTCCAAATAAATAAAATGATGAAAGTGTGTTTTCTAGAATTTCATTAATAGTGTTATACAAAGTTTGTACAGGACACCCCCCCCCCTTTTTTCCCTTATCAAACTGCTTACAGAACAAAATAAAATAGTGGGCACCCTTTTAAAATTTGGGATCCTCCATGACTGAAGATATGTATTGAAATAACAAAATTAAAATGCTGAGGTTGACAAACAGCAAAAGATTCTACAGTGATGGATTCCAAGTTGTTGAAATTAAATCATTACATTTGAACAAAATAAATAACTGATTCATTTATTACATAATTCGTTAGTATTTGCAAGTATGACATATTTAATTATACCTTGTCAGTTGACCATTTTTTGTAAAACAGTCTTGTTTTCCCATCTTTCTTGATTATTTTAAATATGTGGGGGTAAGAATGGTTACACATTTTGTTCAGATACTGAGTTATCCAACCAGCTACATCCCACACTTTTGATGTTTGAACAGACACTGGATTTGGAGTAGTGCAGAACTCAAAAGCTCTCATGAGTTTGGGCAGTGTCAGAACTGCCTGTCTTGCCAACCAGGAAGAAAATCTGCAATTAAATTATGACAGAATTGTAGCATGAAGAAAACACAGCAACCATACATCAGAACATAGTTTACTCTTTTTTTTGTCATGTGTAGAAATTGTTAAAGTGTTTGTTAAACAGGAAGTTGCTGATTGATCAATCTGAAAAAGCATCACAGTCTAGCTCACTCATATAAACCTTGATACCAAATTTCAGAAAACCTTATTATTCAGTTGCTCAGAAAAATGTGTCAAAATATTCATGAAACAGATGGACAGAATGACAGACAGGTGTAAAACAGTTAACATCTGTTTTATCTGACCTTAGCCTACAAGGCTTGTGTGAGTTATTGCCATCACTTGGTGTCCGTAGTGCCTCTATTAACTTTTCATATTCTAATCTAAATTAAATGCTCCTCTGGGTGCAGCTTGATACGACCGCAGAGGTCGAAGCTGAACAGTTGGGGCAAGTATGGACATAACATTCAAGCTTGATACAGCACTGAATTTGGATTGTGATTAAATATTTGACACAGCATAGGTTTCTGACACAGAATGAATGTGGTCTAAGAACTTAAAAATTTTTAATTTACCTATTCAAACCATATCATTATTATTTGCTTTTATATATAAATCAGAAATAACCAATTTAAAATGGAAAATTTTAAAGAAAAAAAAGGGGAAAAAAATTCCCCCTCAAATTTTTTGAACCCCCTTATGATTCATCACCCCCAAACTCAATCCCAGCCTTCCCTTTGTGTTACAATGTATGGTGCCTTGCAGTACAATTTCAGAGAGATCCGTACACTTAAACACAAGTTATTGTCTGGAAACTAGAAAAATGCTTGTTTTTTTGCCCCTTTTTTGCCCCAAATTCCTAAACATTTAGGGCAATTACCCCCAAACTCAAATCCAGCTTTCCCTTTGTGATATGGAACCTTGTTGTACAATTTTATAAAGATCCATACACTTACACACAAGTTATTGTCCTGAAACTAGAAAAATGCTTGTTTTTTTGCCCCTATTTGGCCCCTAATTCCTAAAATTTTGAGGCAATTACACCCAAAATCCATCCCAGCCTTCCCTTTGTAGTATGGTACCTTGCAGTACAATTTCAGAGAGATCCATACACTTGAACACAAGTTATTGTCTGGAAACTAGAAAAATGCTTATTTTTGGCCCCTAATTCCTAAAATCTTGAGGCAATTACCCCCAAAATCAATTCCAGCTTTCCCTTTGTAATATGGAACCTTGTAATACAATTTCAGAAAGATCCATACACTTGAACACAAGTTATTGTCTGGAAGTTACAAAAATGCTTATTTTTGGCCCCTTTTTTGGCCCCTAATTCCTTAACTGTTGGTACCTTAACCCCCCAAAATCAATTCCAACCTTCCTTTTGTGGTATTGAACCTTGTGGTAAAATTTCATAGAGATCCATTCACTTAAACTAAAGTTAGAGTGCGAAAACCAATGTGTCTTTGGATTTTTTTGCGGTCGTATAAAAACTACATATGAAGAACAGCTTAAGGGATTGAAACAAAACTTATTAGTTATGTTCCTATCAAGGTCATGAACAAGCGTTTTTAATTTGATGCAGATTGGAAATTCAAAATGGCGTACGTGCCACAGACGGTCAATTTATACATAGAAACTGTAAGGAAAATTCATTTCTAATGATGTAAGGTGCAAACAATTTATGCAGACATGACCCTAAGAAGTAGCTTATTTAGGGTGACAGTCTTCACGCTAAACATTTGAATCCACAGGCCGAAGCTCAATTTTACCAAATTTTTAGTTGGATTATGTTGGCTTGTAGAGAAGAATTTCACAAGCCGGACAGCAATATTACAAGCCATGGCTGTAGGACTTGTGGTTAAGCTTGAAGACATTGGGGTTAATGTTTTAGTCCTAGGAAAATAATTTGGAATTATAATTTACTCTCCTCTCTTTTTGATAAATAAGTGATGAAAGCTCTAGGAGCCTTCTGTTTTAATCATGGGCTATACAAACTGGTTTCCACATAAAACCTTACTAAGACCACTGCAGAAATCCATCTCCTGAATATTTATGTACATCTTTTTCTGGTCAAGGATAGCAAAAAGGAAATTTTTACATTATGCTATATATTACGTACCTTGAAAATACCTGGTCAACGTCTTCATGGGTATGTCCTACCATAAGGAATGATACTTTAACTTTTTTGAAAACACCAAGCTCTACTAACAGTGAAAGGAATCCAAAGACAAATCTGTAATACATATTTGATATCAATAAACATAAGAAATAAAATCCTACATCAAACAGTATTTGAACTCAACAAAGTATTTTCTGATAGGTTCTTCATCTCCTTTAACTTTGAGCTACAAGTTACATTTTTTTATTGAGCATTTCTGTTTTTTAAACAGTGCTTTTTCAACTGGTTTTCAATTACATATCATATTTTCAAACTTTAAATTGATGAATTTCATTGAAGATTTCGTAAATTTAATTCACAAAGCACAAATTTCAGCAATTTTTATGTAAAATATATGTTTCCTTAACTTTGGTTATTTTGTAACATTCTTTCATTCAATGGTCATACAGTTAAATAATAGTAAATAACCTGTTCTTATTTTCCCTGTAACAATTGTCCATTTGCAAGTAAAGGACTGGTGGGATGTCTTCCAAACCTGCCAAAATGTTTATCAAGGTTGAGATGGTTAAATTCGCTGAGTGTGGGTATTCAAATAGGTCAAAAAATCCATAAGTACTGATTCCGTGAAGCAATACCCCAATTAAGTGGACTCTCAGCTTCCACATATTACCTGTAAACTTTGATTTATACAGGAAGTGTGGAAGCTGAGTTTTGCTTTGGTCCATTGAGTCAATTATAACAGATAAATATTTTTCCTGTTGTTCTTTAGCCTTCTGAATATGCTTGTAATATTTCCTTCTTTCCATGCTGAAAAAATAAATAAAAGGAAATGAAGCAGGGATGGGGTAATTGTAATATGTAATCATAATTGATTGGTTTTGATAAAATCTATTTAAGTAATTGACATTAATATGTAAATGTCCACATTTTTTTTACATGTTGTAGTAATTCAATTGATTATAGCAAAAAATATTGTGTAATCATAAATTTAATTTCGATAGCATTTCAATTACTTTGGGAAAATAGTTTGACAAAATAAAACCTACTTAAGGTAGATGGGGTGTCTAAATTATAATCCATAGAATTTTTTAATAATTTGCCAAAATGTAGTTTATATCAAGCTTTTTTAAAAAAAATGATAAAAAGAATGGGTCACGGGGCTTATTTTCATGCTACAGGTTGTTCAAAATTAACAGATTTAGTATAGATTATGCATGGAAAATCCAATTTTCTGCCATAAAACGAAAACTACACCATAGAATTTTGAGATAAAATATGAGAAGATAGCTTTAATAGTATGCTTTCAGATAAGAAAAAGAAAAAATTGGGACACCGGACCCGTTTTCTTGCTACATAATAAAATAGGTAAATTCCTAACACATTCTATTGTAAAAGTACCTTTATCTGAATTATCTGCCCTTACATTTGAGTTGCCTCCCCTTATGTGGCAAAGTTGGAAAAAATTGAATCAAACAAAAGTTTTCTGTTTTTTTGTAAAATATAACCATAAATATGATAAAACATGTCATTTTCTATATTGAAATGAAAATTCTTACACATGAATTACCTACTACTCTCAAAATTTGCACATTCTATTAAAGATCTAGACCGATTGTTTTCAGGTATTACAAAATCCAAGATGGAGGAAGACACCCTATCTACCTTAAAATGAAAATACCAACTGCATGTGTTGTTCAATTAGTGCTATTATACATATAACTTACTTTGGAGTTCAATTAAATTGTCATATTTCAGATTTTTTTTTTCAAGCCAGCGAGTTTCTTGACAATTATCACTTTATTTTCACATTTGGAAACTAATGATTTTAAATCTATATCATTCCAGTTACGTCATGAATAAAATTAAAGCTGGGGTTAAGTGCGTTGCTATATCGAAGTTAGTTTCAAAATTGAATGAAACATTTGACCTCAGAAATCAGTTTGTTATATATTTACAGAACAGGTATATGAATAAATGATAAATTTACGAAGAGAATGAACTATCTTATCTATCAAATAACTAAAACATTTCAAGAGAAAAGTTTTGATATAATGATTAAGAAATTATGCAAAGTCTACAATACTTACTTTTGTTGTTTTAGGTGTTTTTCTCTCCTTCTTTGTAGTTCTTGCTTTCTTGTCTTGTTTCTGGTTGATGAAAGTTTTGTCTTTATTTTAATGCATTTATTGCATTTGGAAAATCTTGATACCTGAAAAAAATCAACTCTGTAAACAAGCTCACTCTCAAAGGCCCTAGAGTGCATGAATCTATCACATGGAAACATAAAAAAACTATATTTGCAGTTCAAAGGCAATTTCTTTTTTCTAAACTTTGATATTGTGGTTTTCCATATATGATCCAAAAATAGAAAATTCCTCATTATTTAAATATAACAAGTTTATCATCAAAATTAGTGCTGAAGCCACTATCACATGGTTAAATGAGGTTGTAGGTGGGATGATAATTCTATTATGATTTTGTTTTGCATATCAACAAATAAAAATGTAGTTGATTGTGATATGTCAATTAAGACTTTCTTTCCTAGGTTATCACTTCAATAAACAATTTAGCCTTTTAAAACTACTTCTGTTGCCTATGGTTACATACAGTGGATATTATTGTGAAGAGTTTAATCATTAGAGATGTCATAACCAAGTATTATCATAGGATTAAACGCCTTTTTAAAGGAATTTACTGGTGTTTAAACTCGACCAATTCACTCACGAACAAATAAAAGTTCAATTTATACACTAATAAATTCCTTTAAAAAGGCGTTTAATCCTTATAATTCTTTAAAAATGGAGATAAAGGAATGCATGTTCCCACACTCGTAACCTGTATCTCACGTACATTGTATATTTGTGTCATTGGATTGGCCTGGCGCATGAATACATTTGTTGGTTAAGGACTTTTATGTTAAGTTTGTGAGTAAGAGCCCCGGTTTACACATCAATAACCTCTAGAAAAAATGTGTTTAATCCTTATAATTCTTAAGCCAAATATTAGTGATTTTTAATTAATATTTTTGTGTGTAATGGGTACTATAATTTCCATCAAATGCACAATTGACAGGTCGTAACTAAGGAGTTGGCCGCCATATTGCCATTTTAAAATCCATAAATGTTCTATAAATGCAACAGAATCTAAAATGAAATAGCACCTACCTCAAAAACTTCATTTTAATTAGATAATGTCCGAATTTACAGCGTACAAGTTACGAAATAATATTTCCCTTGAAAGTTTTCATTCGTTTGACGTTGTGTTTTGCCATGACATAAATTCGCTAAATCATTCATGAAATTTCGCAGAATTTTTTCTAAATTTTATTTTTTTTACATTTTCGAAGCTCTAATGCGTTATTTCTTATTTGTTATATATGCATAAGAATAGAAACAAATGTTATGTATTTGTTTTTTTATCTCAATTTGCTGAAAATCCCGGGATCCTTGCATAAATGTGCATATCGCGCATGAATAGATCACAGTGAAGTTTACAAAAGTAGTTTCAGAAACATGGTTTATCGAAGTGTAAACCAAGCGAAAAAATTTTAATTGAACAATCCAATTCAAGTATTTATAGATATGCAAATCATATAAGAATTATATACAAATAATGATTCAGATCATTAAATGGTATGTTTGTGTTACCTTAGGGATGGCAATATGACACATACATGTTCTCCAGAGTAACATAAAATGTGACATGGAAATAACTTCTGGTTCCCCCTTGTCATGTTGGTATTCAACCATCTCACTGTAAATTGACTTTTTGGTCACACATGGTGGTAGGTGTATTTTTTCCTGGTTGGGTAATTTCTCACCAAATTGGATGGCATACATATGCAACCATGTCATTGCACTTTGGCTAGAAGCTTTCATTCTACCAAGACGATTACCAATTTTATTGATAACAACTGATCCATCTAAAATTGAAGACAATAAGAATTCTATTACTCATGTAGCTACAACCAGACACAAGAAACTTCAAACATGTTCATACATAAGAATTTTTTTTCGTAGGCAAGTCAGATAATAAACTTTATTTGTTTTTTCTGCATGAAATTTAGTTAGTGTTTTAAAAAATCCTAATTCCTCCTTTACAGATTTACTAAAAAAAATACCCGTGTGTGTGGCTTGAAGGTACTTAAAAGGTTTACGTTGATAAACAGTTTGGGTTTATGATTCTCAAACTGTTTTTATGTTGATAGCTTGGATTAGTTTGTCAGTTCTTCTTCCATAGAAGTTTGAATCTACTATTAGAAGCTTCTGTCTCAGTGATACACAGGTGTTCCTAGAATGGATGAAATAGCAATAGGGGACTTAAATAATCTCATTATCTGCAAGCAAAAAAATAAAAGTGTTCTCAGTTTTTAGTTGTGTGATGCATGTTTTATATATTTACCATAAAACTTTTTCTGAATACTATAGTACGTTGATTTAGGGATTCCAAGAACCAGTAGAAAGGCTGATAGACACACTGAAGATGTACCTATCAGGTACTTGAACTCATACTTGCAAGTAAGCTCATTGATCCTGAAAGAGAATAAGAACATATTTTTTTAACTAGTATTCATTTACATTTTTATGTTGTCATAAGTTAAAGATTTTTTTGTCAATATAAAACCTGTTTATGTTATAACAAAATCATGCAATCAAATAAATGTGTTCGTGAAAAATTACACAGGGTTATAAGTATAATAATAGTGCATTTGATTTGATTTGATTTTTTTGTGTTTTAATGCCACTTTTAAGCACCGCTTTTGGGCATTTGAATTCATACAGCAGGTAACAAATTTCCGGTAGTCCCATGAAGAATTGTTCAGTGTTAGCTCATATTTAACCTAGCTCACTACATATTACTATATGTACCTGTTAAAGTGTTTCAATTAAGCAGTCTGTAATTTTGATGGCTGTGGATTGTTGTTGTGTTTAATATTTGTTTTTCATTTCATATGTTATCATATAAATCTGGACGTTGATTTGTCATGTCTTGTTTTACACTGTCATTTTGGGGTCCTATACAGCTTACTTTGCTGTGTGAGTAAAGGCTCCACTTTGAATGCCGTATTGTGACTGACTTATAATTAAGAGATCTTTAAAGAAAATTCCATGAAAAGATGTTGTCTTCTTTGGCCCCTAAGCTAGGTAACGTCATAGGAGATAGAGAATTTTACGCTTACTGTCATACAATCAGAACCATTGATACAAAAAATTTGTATTAGAATTGCTGATAATTTGGATGGCAATCATACCACATCTTCTTATATTGAAATATAAACATGATAAAAGATGAAAATTATACATCAATGAACATATGTATACCTAGAATGGCTTTGTAGCCAATTCAGAATGAACTGACTTTTTTCATTTGTAGACAGGGATTGAAAATTATTTCGAACAGTCTCTGCGGTCATAATGTCCAATCCTGATATGCAAAGCATTGAACAGCACACCATGTATGTGAAAGAAGTCAGTGCTTTCAGGCTTCTTCTTTCTGCAAAATTTAAATAAATGGAATATGAGCTTACTGATTGATAACCCACAATGACAACATTAATCCCATAAAGTGGATTATCTCCCTTTAAAATCATCAGCAATAATCATCTTGCTTCATGCACATAAACATGTGATACACTTTTACTTTCATATAATATTTTATCAAAATATATTGAGTTAAGGTCAATGAGTTGCCCTTGCAAGATTCTGAATATGTTAAACAAATGCAAAATGGTCGTTGGGTTATGTCCCTAAGCAAGCATGCAGCAATTATAAGCACAAACATAGGATGTCTTACATTGGACACACAGATGAATTCGGTGGTTCCTTGTACCCTCCACTAACTTTCTTTGCATGGGTGTAATACATGTTAATAATACAATATTTTACAGAGAATGCGGTTTCTGATTTCTAGTCATTTTAATTAGTGAAGACAATAATTAGGACTACCAGGTAATAGACAAAAAATTAATTTTTTGGGTTTAGTATATAGAGAATAATACATGGTGAAATCTGTATCACATGCCATATCATCCCGAGATACCAATATCAGCCCGAGGGTCTTTAGGATCGAGGGTGATACAGCATGTGATACGGATTTTGCCATGTTTTATACGCTTTATCATATATTTAAATAGGAGAGTATATAGGAACTGCTTACTGATACAAAACACCTGGGTTACCTTTAGATTCATTTTTGCCTCGTTTTAACATTTATCAAATATAGGAACTGCTTAATTATTCATCCGAAGCACCTGGGTTTTCTTACAATTTGTGTCCTGTAGTCCATAGAAATATTATGTTTATTGTATTTTTTGTTGTTGTTTTATTTTCATTGAATTCTTTTTGTCCTACTTTAGTAATGTTGTACTATACAAAACACATTCTGAAATAAACCTATTAAGAAAACAAGAATGTGTCCCAAGTACACGGTTGCCCCATCGGCACTATCATTTTCTATGTTCAGTGGACCGTGAAAATGGGGCAAAATCTCTAATGTGGCATTAAAATTAGAAAGATCATATCATAGGGAACATGTATACTAAGTTTCAAGTTGATTGTTCATCAACTTCATCAAAAACTACCTCGACGGACGAATGGACGGTCGAAGGAATGGACGGATGAACAGACGCACAGACCAGAAAACATAATGCCCATAAATGGGGCATAAAAAGTATCAATTGTAAACCAACAATTCAATAACAAGTATACTATAATAAACAAAGGACTACTTTAAGACGTGAGAAAAATATGTACTTTTGAAATATCAAAATTTATAAAGTTTAACCCTCTTCTTGCCCTTATTTTTTTATGATTTCATTTCATGTGCCAGAAAATATGAAAGCTCTACGTCTGTGAAGTCACATGCCAAACAATGATGTCATTAAAAAAATGCCGTAATGACCGTTCCATTTTGGAACCATTGAAGAAAAATATTTCTCTAATTTTTGTGCGATAAAGGGGTGTGATAATATCAGATTATTACATGGCATTTTTCATATCAGATGTATTTTCAGCCCAAGGTTCAATATTTGCCCAAGAGCTGAAGTCTTGAGGGCTGATATTGACCGAGGGCTGATAATACATCTGATATGAAAAATGACATGTTATGATCTTTTTATCATATGCCTCAACAATGGAGAAAAACAGTTTTTTGGTCCTTTTTTCATGGTTCTCACGTAGAAGTTCAAAAAGTTAAAAGTTTACGAAAAGGCATGTGATAATAATCGAAGCATGTGATAAATTTTCCATATCAGATCGCTATAAAATATGGAATTCACGTAAATTCAATGCTATTATCATACTGTAAAATTTATATGTTATTTGCTATAAGTATATGATAAAGGGTCTGCATCAAAGATGAGCGATACGGATTAAACAGGAGGCTATTTATCAAATATTCAAAACTGCTGTATTTACTACTAAATATATGATAAATATATATATAAAATTAAATATACATGCTTCTTACTTTTTCTCACAGGAGTTTCCATTGTTTCATCTCCAGGATAGTTCATATGACGGTCAACAGAAGACCCAAATGGTCTTCCTCTTTTTCTATGTGCTAAAATGCAAACATTACCATGATTACAAGAGGTTTGCTTGTTGTTTGATTTTTCCACAATTACTTAGTAATAAACAGTTGAGTGTATTGCAATTTATTAAAGCCACATTAAAATGTCATGCAATCTCCTACCTCAAAATGTACTTAAATAGAGATATAAGAAGATTTATTCTAATGCTACATCGCTTGTAATGTTAATTTTTATTGGATAAAGTCACCAATTTTCATGGCATCAATTCACAATTAATGCTATGGAAATGTATATGCAAGCGCAAACCATGTTTGGAAGATTTTTAATGTATAATTTGACGTTTTTTTCTTTCAGGTTCATTAAAATGAAGATAACAATATTGTATTTTAAGCTTCAACAGCATCAATTGGTGATTTTTGGCCCCAGATGATTTTTAAAATGTTTATATCATTGTAAAGGCTCCAAATTATCTCCCTTTGGCACAAAAATGCCATTTTTATGCATTAAATATTTTTAACTCATCTGTGACCTATATTTTTAATATTTTTATACGACCGCAAAAAATTTTGCGGTCGTTTATTAGTATGAAGTTGGCGTCATCGTTGTCCGAAGACACATTGGTTTACACACTCTAACTTTAGTATAAGTGAATGGATCTCTATGAAATTTTACCATAAGGTTCAATACCACAAAAGGAAGATTGGGATTGATTTTGAGGGTCATGGTACCAACAATTAAGGAATTAGGGGCCAAAAATAAGCATTTTCTAGCTTCCAGACAATAACTTGTGGAATTTTTTTTGGGGAAAAGGGGGGGGGGGGGGGGGGGGTAAAAAGAAATTGTGGGGTGTCTATTTTTTCTCATTTTAGATTTCAGAAATTAAAAAGAATTATTCTTCAAATATTATATTTTTTTTCAAATTTCAAATATTGACAAATTTCAAAAAGTAATCTTTAATTGCACAGTATGGCGCATTAGATTTGTAAAATCTTTGACCACATTTAATTATTTGTTATGCCGAATCTGACCATGTATCTAGATTTTTAATTTTGGGTCCAGTTTTCAAATTGGTCTACATTAAGGTCAACAAAAATTGAATATATGGAGTTCTTTGATATGCTGAATCTAAACATGTATTTAGATTTTTGATTATGGGCCCAGTTTTCAAGTTGGTCCAAGTTGGGGTCCAAAATTAAACTTTGTTTGATTTCAACAAAAATTGAATATATGGGGTTCTTTGATTTGTTGAATCTAACCATGTATTTTGATTTTTGGGCCCCGTTATCAAATTGGTCCATATTGAGGTCAAAAGGGTCCAAAATTAAACTTTGTTTGATTTCATCAAAAATTGAATTATTTGGATTCTTTGATATGCTGAATCTAACCATGTATTTAGATTTTGGATATTGGACCGTAATAGGTAAATTAAAAAATTTTAAGTTCTTAGACCACATTCATTCTGTGTCAGAAACCTATGCTGTGTCAAATATTTAATCACAATCCAAATTCAGAGCTGTATCAAGCTTGAATGTTGTGTCCATACTTGCCCCAACTGTTCAGGGTTCGACCTCTGCGGTCGTATCAAGCTGTGCCCAGCGGAGCATTTTATTTAAATGAGCTGTACTTAAACTGATCAATTGTAAAATTTAAGAGATTTTTTTCATTTCAGTTCTTTTTTTATTTCGCTATTATCTCTATTTCTCCTATTAGTTCAACAGAAAAAAGTACCTTAACAAAAATGCATGCTTCTTTCAAAGGCAGATTGTGTGTTAAATGAACGGTGACCACCTTTTTTATTTAATTTTCTATTATGTATATGATAAAGCTCATTTATAGAAAAAAATTAAGTGAAACCCTATATTTAAAAAAAAGCAGTAAAATAGGGGAACACCTTGTGCTTTTCCTATTCAATTGTGTAACATAGAACCTTAGACATACATCTTTAAATGATTTACCTGAAGGTTCAATATTTTCAGCAACTTCATCTCCTGACTCACATTCTAACTCAGAATCATCTGTATCTTGATTGCTGTCTGAAATTGAACAAATAAATGAATTCACTTAATTCAAAATAGTAAATTAATTTTAAAAAAATTGACTTTAGAAATTGAAACCAAGCAAGAGCATCTCTATAAGCAGATTCCTTCATCCTTTAATTAACAGGGCTTTGCAGCAAAATTTTATCTGGAAAATCACATAAATGGTCATATACAATATACGGTCAATATCAGAAAAATATAAACTTTTTTGTATGAGGCCGAGAAACTGGGGAAGGGTGAGGTTCTACCGAGCCCTTCACCAGTTTTGCGCCGAATACAAACAAGTTTATATTTTTTTTACATTGACCTTATATTGTTTTTATACTGCAAGTTAAATTAATACATTGATAGCTATTAAAATTGTAAAACTAAATTCAAACTTATTTTCATCCTTTAAGGAACCCCTGATTGTGGAAAAGTGTTGCATGATGAAATTCACATTGCACAACATATAGCTGTGTTACTATATTTAGGAAATAAACACAACTAGTTGCAGTGTAAATTGTAATAGTAGGAAGTGTGATCTGCATGAAAGCACAATCCCAGGAAAACCCTGCATTTATATATATAAATAAATCATGCATTTGGGGATGATATTTGGGATGGGAATAAATCTTATAATATTACAATTTGGAGCTACAAACTATAAGTTTTTGCTACTTATACAATCAAAATCCTTAATTGAATTTATTACCTTCACCATTATCACTTTCATCAGGACTATTCATTTCCATCATACATGTATCTGTGATATTTTCATAATCTGAATTGAAAGAATTATTGAACAGATTAAAACATTACTATAGCTATAGCATACATTTTATAAATTAAGGTGATATACATTTTAAGTCATATGAAATGAGTGACTGGTGAAAAATAATGTTTATCCAATTCTTGAACCATGCAATGCATGTATATATATTTCTCTAATTCTTTGACAATTTATACCTTTCTGCACTCATTGTATAAAAAAATTTAATCAACGTGTGGTTGCCGGTGATCTCAGAAGATGATTGGATGAATTTAAGGGTCATAACCTTTATCAGCTCAAAATATGCTTACAGGTGTTAATGAAATTGACAACTTTGTGAAATGTGGAAGGGACTCGAAGGGGTTTTGGTTTAACAAAAAATGAAAATGTATTTTTTAATCATTAGAGAAACAGATTCTTACATAGTTACTCGTGAATTATCGGATTTATCCAATCTCGATAGTTAAATTATAAATTTTAAAGTCCTCGCCAAGGCTCAGACTTTAAAATTGATAATTTAACTATCTCGATTGGATAAATCCGATAATCCACTGGTATCAATGTAAGAATCTATATATATCATAAAATAAGTCTTCTGTGCACGATTTTGTCTTTTTTTATGCATCCATATCGCATAATCGTCAAATCAGCTAATTTAATATTTAAACCAAAATATAATTTGTGATTTTGAGTTTGGGGTTAAACAACATGCTCATATAATCAATTAGTTTTACAAACTCAAAAATTTAGTTAATGTTTTACAATCAAAATCCTTAATTGAATTTATTACCTTCACCATTATCACTTTCATCAGGACTATTCATTTCCATCATACATGTATCTGTGATATTTTCATAATCTGAATCGAAAAATTAATGAACAGATTAAAACATCAATCAATATACAATATATCCATAAAGGGGCAGAAAAAAAATATTACATTGAATTTGACAGTTGTGTGTGATTAAGGAGCTACCATTTAATTTCCAGGGTGAGGGGATAGGATGAAATATGAAAAAAAGCAGGCCAGGAGTTTTGAGTAAATGTAACTAGAGGCTCTAAAGCACCCAAGTTGCTCACCTTGGTCTATAGGCAAATCAAACATTAAGTACACTCTCCAACATGAAGACAAGAATACTCTGACTTCATGACAAAAATCTTTATTTTGTTGATCTTGTATAACTGATCTTTTAGTCTGTTCAGTTTCTTTGACTTACATAATAGATCTTGCCTTGCTGATCATTAGTGTGATTTAAAGTGTTTATTAATTTATTATGATTTAAATCATATTAGGCATAATAGAAAAACTTTCTCTCTAAATATCATTTTAGTCATGTCAGCTATGTTGATAATATTAGCCAGCTGGGTCTTCCGACACGTTTTAATAACTAGATACTTAAATGACGATTGTGGCCAAGTTTGGTAAAATATGTCATAGTAGTTGTAGAGGATAAGATTTTTGTAAATGATTACAAAAGTTTACAAAAAATTATGAAGGGCAATAACTCCTAAAGGGTCAATTTACCATTTTGGTAATGTTGTCTTATTTGTTGATCTTACTTTGCTGGACAATTAAGCTGTTTACTGCTTATCTCTATATCTATTATCCTTTTCAAGAAATTAACCAAAAACTGCAAAGTTTACTTAAAATTACCAATTTTGGGCAGTAACCGATCAACAGGTTGTCTGATGTGTCTGAAAATTTCAGGGCAGATAGATCTTGAACTGATGAACATTTTTTTTTCAATGTCAGATTGCTGTAAATGCTTTTGTTTCAGAGATATAAGCCAAAAACTTTATTTAACCCCCAAGGAGTTTCAAAGAGGATTTTTGGAAGAAATTAAAATTTACAAAAAAATGTGAAAAATTGACTTTAAAGGGCAATGACTTTTTTTGGGGTCAATTCACCATTTTGGTCATGTTGACTTATTTGTAGATCTTACTTTGCTGAACAATTTTGCTGTTTACAGTTTATCTCTATCTATTATAATATGCAAGATAGTAACAAAAAAATGCAAAATTAAATCACATAACTCTGAAATGTAAAATCTAAAATTTATGTTAATCGAAAGGGAGCATACGTCAAAAGATATAAACAATTCACCAAAGTTTCATGAAAACTGCTGAAAGCATTTTTGAGTTATTGTCCAAAAATTGGAAAATACCCCTTTTTTAATGAATAAAACCCCATAATTGGGAAACTTAAAATCTAAATTTTATAAAAATCAGAAGGGAGCATGTAATAAGGCAGGACAGATTACAACTACAAAAAAAGAAAACGAAGGACAAAATTTTTCATCCTACAAAAAATGTAGCTCCCCCAATAAAAATCAAATGGTAGCTCTCTTAAGCCCATATTTTATTGCATTAAAAAAATTCTGAGTCATAAAAATATATCTTTGGTGTTTCAAAGCATATTTAATATTTATTGAGTGTTTCTGTACGTGGAAAATTTCACCTCTTTTTATACCCATGTACATAGATAAAAAAAGAGGTTGTACATGTATAAAAATGAGGTGAATCTTTGATTAGTTAACTTCAAGTGATGGTTATTTGATTATATACAACAAAGATACATTCTATATATTCATGTTTATCATATATTTAGTACAAAATACAGCAATATTGTATATCTAATAAAGGTTCTTTTTTCCAGTCTGAGTGTGGCTTAGGTCTTCTTTTTTTCTATGTTGTGTTTATAGTGGATAATTTTGCAGTTTTTTTTCTCAACCATTTCAAATCAGCTCTATGAGTATTTTATCCTAAATAAGCAAATACATTTTATGCTTCTTTTTTTTTAATTGCTGAAAATTTCATCCATAGCAATGGTGCAACGACCTCAATTATTTTTTATAAACATTTGTAAGGTTTCTCGCTTATTTTTATATTTTCCTCTAGATACTATCTTTTTTGACAGTAATACTAAGAAGCTTCTGTCCAAGTTTGGTTCAAATTATTGTGTTATTGTAAATTCTGATGGAAAATTTACTTGTATGGATGAGAAAAACGTTTTGTAGCTGTAACAGGCAGGAGCAAATTTTATTCACTGAAGTTTCGTAGGAAATATGGGAACTTTCATTCCTTGTAATTTGGCGATTTAGGTGTACCAAACGTTACACACTGACACAGGCATATTACAAACTGTCTCAACTGGCCATACATTATTCTTATTTGAAATACCAGTATTGTAAATGTGTAAATGCTTTTTGGGCACCAAGTCTTACCTATTACATCTTCTAAAGAATTAAAATAATCATCAGAATCTGCCATTCCTTCAGACGATCTGGAAGCCATGATCGCGTGCTGATTTCCCAGTTCTATTTTCGTTCGTGGAGTAATATTAGTAATTTCTAAAGATGTTTTTACTCCAGATATTAATTTGATGTAATTTCAACAAAGTAAATGAAATAATATATTTGCGTTTTACTTCAAAACATGCTAATGTCGGCAACAGCATATGAATTCGCGCATCGTTGATGGAACTACTTCGCTCGTTTTGTTTGTGTTGTGGTTGTAAATCGGTCACGTGCAGCTGTACGTCTGTCAACAATCAAACTCAAGATGTGGAAGATAGACGCAGGGGTTGTAAAAATTGGTAGCAAACAAGCAGTTGATGAAAATGGAAAGAAATATCCGAAGGTTAAATCCGTCAAAGAGTGTAAATTTGTCTATTTGGTAAGAATTTATAAGAAATCAGTCGGCTTTAGGCTAACCCAAGAACCTGCGTGTTCGCTAAAATTACAACTATAAGTCTATATCCACATTCGCACAGTATTCAAATATATTTTTTATCATATTAAACTTAAAATAATGTTTAAATGTCCGATTTTATAATTTGATTCTAATATATTTATTAAGAACATCGCTACTTATGTTAGATGTCGAAATGAATGTTAGACAACATTCCACAACTAGACCTGCGCATGTGTCAAAAGTTAAAATTAAACTTACAAAAATTCCAAGTAGGCGTGCCTACAGAAAAATATTGTACGCAACACATACATTTAGTTGATTTGCATGCGTTATTAACAATAAGACAACACCCTTAATGATGTACAAAATGTAATTAAGTTAAAGGATTTTATAAATTTATTATAATCTACATACATATTAAGCAACTCGTATTTTTACATGTGTTTATTATGGAGTTCTATTTTTAGAAGGTATATAAATATCGAAGGATATATAAATAACCCTCCCGTTAATTAATTTGTAAATGTACTGTTAATCCTTTTGGAAATTTATTCCTGGCAAATTATCTACATGATTATTAGAATAAATATGTAGTTGTTTATTAAAATGTCGAATGATGGTGGTTTCTCCTAAATATTAGAAAACTTATACTGGGACTATTTTTTAAGCCACAGGCTCTTTTACAAATTTTGCAATTTTATGGTAAACAAATCTCCTGAATATGTTTTGGTGGGCATATAGACAGGAATAAATTAAAATTTATTCCTAAGTAAAGGTCCTACAAGTACAATGGGCAACATAATTATAACATTAAACTAATAATCAAATGCAAAAGAACAAAAGAACAATCACCACTCTAAGGGAAAGAATTATATACTTGATCGATATAGCATTTAAATGACACACACTACAGAGACTAATACATACATGTATAATTTTATTATTAATTATGATTATTGAAAATAAAAAATCAGTAATAATGGTATATATATATAATTGACACATTCACCGATTCAATTCTGTATTCTATAATGTACAAGTAACATATCATGATAAGCATATGCATTTTTTTTTGTAGATTTATTTCATTGGTCAGAAGAAGGGGCTAAAACTTGGCAAAGACAAATATACAGGTTCTAGTGAAGTGATTAAAAGGTTTCAGCCCAAACCGTCCAGACAATTAACCAAAGAAAAACAGAACAGGCTGCCAGCAGTAACGCATATTGAGCCGAGTTTTGGTAAATCTGTTGAAGATGATAAATTGATTGGTAATTTATTTGAAATTTTTAACTAGCATATGAACAGTATGAAATTTAAAGATAATTTGGTTCTTAAAGTTTTATGTATATATAGATATCATTATATTATCTTAAATTGAAAACAATTACAATTTTTTTTTTTTAATCATGATAAGTTGATAATGTAAAAAAAAGAATTTGCATGGATTTTGTGATCTGCATATAAAATGGTAATTAATAGATAATTCCATTCTCAATTTTATAAAGCTTTTGTAATTGACTTTATAATATCACTGTGGTCATATTAAGGAAGCCTGCAATTGATTATTATCATTATCAGAAAGTGTAAATCAAAGAAATTTTGTACTACATGTAATTATTATAAGTCATTATTATTTGTGCTTTAATAGGTGAATTTACTGTTGACGCTAAGACCCTTTCTAGCCCACCACAGGAATATTTATGCAGGACAGTAAGGGAGGACTGGGTTGTAGAGATAAGAAATAAAATACGTGAGCAAGCAGCAATCCCACAGGGGACACATCTGCCTGTGCTAGTGGACCCATCTCAGGTACTTTTAAATACTAATATTTGAAAGAAAAAAAAATTCTCCGACTGTAATATTTGCAGTTTGCATAATTTATTTAAAATAATGTATAACAGTTGATTAATGATGAGTAACAGATCAAGAATAAGTGAACATTTTTTATGCCCCCTCCCCCGTCATAGCGGAGGGGGCATTAAGTTTTCCCCTTGTCCGTCCGTCCGTTCGTCCGTCCCAATATTGGTTTCCGTTCTCTAACTTTAGTTTGCCTCAACCAAATGTTATGAAACTTATACACAACGCTTATTATCACAAAACACAGGTCAAGTTTGAATTTGGGTGGCGTCACTTTTACCATTCTAGAGTTATGCCCCTTTACAAATGGAAAAATTGCTGAATTTTTCGTTTCCGTTCTCTAACTTTTGTTTGCCTCTACAAAATGTTATAAAACTTATACACAATGCTTATTACCACAATAATTTACACTCTTAAGGTTAAGTTTTTTATAAGTACAAAATATAACTAAAATACACAGGACTGTTTCAAAATACAAAATTCTTTTCATATTACTACTTAAGCTACCATATACACCTTAAAAATAATGAGAAATTTCAATATGCATATCAACATTTATTTCAGTGTTCAGATCCTGAAAATTTTAGAAGTAAACTCCTAGAGAGTAATTCACAGATAACATCAACTGATTTTACCCTTTATTTGCTTGGTGGTAATCACCTTGTGGCTGCTATCAAGGGATTGCAAGAAGAAGGAATCAAAGGAATTGGGTAAATTGGTTTTATCACTTTTTTGTTTTTATCAACTTTTACAGTAGCAATGTAATTGTAAATAAATTTAATTAGGTTATTATGACATATATATAATCTGATGCATGATAACATGACTTACAATAAGTTTTAAATTAGTTGATTAAATAAAAAACTTGGTAAAAACTATGAATATAGCTGAAATTGAAATGTTATAAAATATTGGTTTTTGTCGAGCATGTGACTTTTGCAATATTTCAACTATATTTGGTGTATGGAAATATTTTATGATCTATATGTCAGTCACGCAGGTTTTATTTGACCTTGACCTCATTTTCAAGGTTCGTTGCTCAGTGTTAAGTTTTGTGTTTTGGTCTGTTTTTCTTAAACTATAAGCAATAGGTCAACTATATTTGTTGTATGGAAGAAATGTTAGCTGTACATGCCTGCCTAGCATGGTTCATCTGACCTTGACCTCATTTTCATGGTTCATTGGTCAATGTTTAGTTTACTTGGTTAGTGTTAAGTTTATGTGACAGTTGTAATAAAGATTTATATTTAGGACTATTAACATAATATCAATGATTAGTAAAGAAGGCGAGACATTTCAGCGTGTGCACTCTTGTTAGATTTTGACCCACAAAAGTTTTTTTTTCAAATATAGAAAAACACTCAAAGAGTGTGCATGCATAACTTGAGCAAGACTAAATTCCATAGGCGTAGCGTCACAAATATTGGATGTTAATTCATTATTTAGTTATTCCTTTGCAGTGAACTAGATGTGTCAGTTTATGTTGGTTTAACACCAGAGGAAGCAAGACTGTTAGGCAACAGACATAACTTTCAAATGTCAACTTTACCAGTGACATTTCAAGTAAGTCTTTTTACCATTAACCAATTTCCCACTTTTAATCAACTTATTTTTAGATTTCATATTCAGTAAAATCATAGCAAAATTGAACTTCCTATAGTTTCATTCCAAAATTTGAAGTGCATAGCAAATAATGATCTTATGCTCAGAACTCAGGACCATTTAATTTGCAAATCTCCTCACAGTCCTGATTTGATTTTCACACTCTGTCTTATGTATAATGAATAATTATATATTCAAAAAATTTTGATAAGCCATCTTCCAAAAATAATGTATGTGGTTATTTTACCATTGGTATGTACTATGCAATGATTTTAAACTATGCTGTTACTTGGGTTATACCGTATATCCCCATAAATATTGATGCAAACCCATGTAAAATATCAATTTAAGAATTGGCTTAAAAAAATAATTATCGGTTTCATAACAAATGAGAATTGGATATCGCTTGATATCAACTCGAGTTATTTAATTTCAATAATATAACAAAAAAGAGCCTTTGGCTGGTTTATTATAACTATTTAAATTAAATTATAGCGATAGTTGATATCAAGTGATATTCAATTTTCACAAGTTGTTTAACCTATTTCTCTTAGTCTTATGGTCAACACTCTTAATGAGTATAAATCAAAATTCCATGAAATGTTGATTTTGTCTTTGCACATTCCAGTATGACGTCATAAGAATTTTGTTAACCTATGTAATGTCCAACATGTTGACCATAATACTGTAAATTCAGAAATTATTGCGAGTTTTTTTTACGACCGCAAAAAATTTTTGGGGATCGTATAATGGTATGATGTCGTCGTCGTCCGAAGACACATTGGTTTCCGGACAATAACTTAAGTTTAAGTGAATGGATCTCTATGAAATATTTTAAGAAGGTTCAATACTATAAAAGGAAGGTTGGGATTGATTTTGGGGATGGTGGTCCCAACCGTTTAGGAATTAGGGGCCAAAAACAAGCATTTTTCTAGTTTCAGGATAATAACTTGTGTATAAGTATTTTGATTGCTCTGAAATTGTACCACAATGTTTAATACCACAAGTAGAAGGTTGGGATTCATTTTAGGGGCTATGGGGCCAATAGTGTAGGAATTAAGGGGCAATAAGGGGCAAAAAACAAGCATTTTTCTAGTTTCCAGACAATAACTTGTGTGTAAGTGTATTTCTCTCTCTGACATTGTAACACAAGGTTCCATATAACAAAGGGAAAGCTGGGATTGAGTTTGGGGTTAATTGCCCCAAACATGTAGGAATAAGGGGCCAAAAACAAGCATTTTTCTAGTTTCCAGACAAATAACTTGTGCTTAAGTGTATGGATCTCTCTGAAATTGTACTACAAGGTTCCATACTACAAAGGAAAGGCTGGGATTGAGTTTTTGGGTTATTGCTCCAAGGGGGGTTCTAAAAAGTTGGGGGGGGGGGGAATTTTTTTTCAATTATTTTTTCAAAATTTTTCAAATTTCGAATTTTTGAAAAGTTTTAAGAAGAAATCTTCAATTGCACAGTATTGCGCAATAGATTTGTCCACATTTATTTTGTGTCAGAAACCTATATTATGTCAAAAATTTGATCACAATCCAAATTAGGACAGTATCAAGCTTGAATATTGTGTCCAAATTTGCCCCAACTGTTCAGGGTTCGACCTCTGCGGTCGTATCAGGCTGCGCTCAGGGAAGCATTTTATTTATTATTGCGAATAATGCGACTGGATGGGTATCGCAATAATAAGAACTCACATTGTCATAACTGAATCATGGATCTGTAATCATTGTAGGCATTTTTTTTTTAAATTGCAATAAGGGGACGACCATTTGATATTCTGGGGGGGGCCAGGAGGATTTGTTTTTGATCGGTTATTTATTTTTGTAAACTAAGAGGACAGATTATCTATTTTCTGCACTGTTGAAGCAAGATTTTTCATTTTCATTACCGTAAAGCAAGGGACTGATTATTTATTTTCACAACTATATTTATAATATTTGAAAACATACAATTTTTAAATTCATTTTTTATTATAAATAATACATGAATAGTCCAATCATTATGTACCATTTAATCAGAATTAATCATCATCATCTGTAGAAATGAATCTTCTGAATTCCCAACTGCATATACATGTATTGCATACATACAAGATAGTAAAGTTTGGCTGTAATTAGTGTCTTTTAAAAGTATTACAAATCATTTATGCCGAGCGGAGCGAGGCTAAAAAAAATTTGAAGGGTTTTCGAGCCGCTGAAGGCCCCAAGTTGCTATAGAACTAATGATGCAAAATGTGTTTCCCATACCCTTTTTTAATCTGATATTGAAAGTTCTGTTTTAATCATTTTTTGACAATATTTTGGTCTCAAAGTAACATGTATAGATTAAGTTTTTAGGAACAACATCAAAAGACAAAGATAAAGCAAAAATTTAATTCACATAGTTTAAGTATGTGGCTGCTGTTTTTTTTAAACTCTTGATCAAGTTAATAACAAAATTACTAAATTACAAAAGGAATGCAATACTAACAGAATACAGAAGGGTAATCAATGAACAAAAGACAAATAAATAAGAAACATTGATCCCCAAAAACCAGGAGCTACGTCTGAGGGAGAACAGAACTTGCTTCTTGCAAGACACTTGCCGTGAAAACAATTTGATATGAAGACAAGCTTTTGGTTTTGAAATTTCCTACATGAGGCATTTGCCTGAATGTAGTTACTGCCATATGTAATAAAAGTGAGTTACATTTGTAAGTGTTCCTGAGACAATATACCTCAAGTTAAATGAAACCTCATTTTTCAGACATTTCAAGTATTTTAAATAATATTTATACTTTTATTATTCAAAGATTTGGGAAGTGATTCCCGATTTTTTTTGAAAAAAAAGTTGGATTTTATGAAGAATCTGGTGCAATCTCATGCTCTCAAATAGACCTGCCGAGTTATTTATTTTTAATACATTGCAAGTCAGGTTATTTATTTTCAAACTACCACAGAACAAACCATTTATTTTAGTGATTATCAAGGCTGAGTTATTTATTTTCAAAATCCTCCTGGCCCCCCCCAGAATATCAAATGGTCGTCCCCTAATTTAACTCGCATTTTTGTCCATTCTTGAAAAATCACAATAATAAATGCACGCAATAATTTCTGAATTTACAGTACTCTGCCAACACTAATAGAAACACACATAGCATACAATGAAGAAGACAATCATTAAAAAATAATACCATTTACAAATAAATTTTAGGTTGTAAAATTTAATTGGTTTACTTCTTATATTGTAGCAAAAAGTAGAACAGGCCAGGCTGTATTTTAAAGCTGGTTATAAGGGTAAAGAATTGGTGGAACAAATTAGAAAAATTAATATGCAGACAGATATTAATAAAACAGTAAGTGATCTTAGGCAGTCACTAATTAAGACATTTGTGACCGACATTTTGGAGAAAAAAAACGAATATGAGTCAAATTACCTTTAAATAAGGCCTTTCTATTGTGAAACAATTTTTATAGTTTACTAAGTTCTTATTCATGTTAAGAAATAATTATTTCATACTGTGATCTATGCTCATTTTACATGGGTAGGCATTATATTTTCAACATATTTATATCGAGCGTATGCAAAGTGTAAAATGCCTATCCATGTTAAAATTAACATATTCTCAGCATGGCATGATATTATAAGTTATTTACGTTCATATCCGTAGATATGAGTATTTTAACACCCTGAAGTACACCAGTACTCCCTGAGGCGCAGCCGAAGGGTGTACAGGGTATTGAAGGGTGTTATGAAGGGTAGATATGGGTATTTTAACACCCTGAAGTACACCAGTACAGGGTACTTTGAAATACCCATATCTACGGATATGAACGTAGATAACGAATTTATCCCTGTTCTTAGTCAGAATTGGAAGAGTTTTAGGGAAATTTGGGTACAAAGTGTAATGTGAAAACAATGTTTTTTTCATTATCTAAAAAAGTTTTATTGAAATTTGGCAATTTGACATACTTTTAAGGGGTGTAGGGTAGAACCCTACAGGTAGTCAAATATAAGACGTTTTTAATCCGGAGACCGAGAAACTGGATTGAGTCAAATTTGAAGCTCAATGTTGTGAGAGTTACGTCATAGATGGTGTGACGTCAACGTGGGTCATTTGCATAGCTAGGTCAATAGTCCCATTCCTTGACAATGTGGCAGTCAAGTGATGCATTTAATGAAATGAGTGTAAATGATCGGCATTATAGGACAAAATCGTTAATGAATTAAATATTTAATTACAGACATCAAGGATAATCTACAGAATTCAATATTTCACAAGGAGCAACCATGCATGGAAAAACTTGTGTGAAGTTCCCCGGGATAATGGTTAGCAACGTCTGGGTATATGGGTTAGCAACACCCAGGGGCTATGGGTTTTGTAACGACGTGCATTAACCAATCAAAATCCTAGAAATATACTAAGCCGGGGATAAAATTATTTCAATTCTTATAAGACAAATTTGAACTTTTGTACATCAAGGCAGACCCATATAACACAGCAGCCATTTTTATATGAAGCACAAACATTAAAAAAAAGGAACTGTTTCACTATGTTAGAAATTAATTGAAACATGTAAACTTACTTCGAAAATGATTTCATTTAATTTCTTAGCTAGAAACATCATCAAAATGTCTGTTTGTCGAAATACAACCTGCGTTGCAGTTTTAATTTTGACGTCAAACATGCACAGACCCCACATTTTATGGGAATAAGAACATGACTTTGTTCACAAAGCAAAAGAATAACCTTGCATTAGAATGCATAGTAAATATCTGAGATATATTTCATGAGTGTGAAAATATGATGACAAATGCCCAAGAAGTCAAAGATTTGAAGAGTGTATAGAACATGGTCCAGTGTTTTAAACATGAGTGATCATAATATTTTAGGGTCAGTTGGATCAAATAACTCCTACTTCCTATTTTTTTTATTTTAAAACTGAAAAATGGAATAAAAACAATTTGTCTTATTAACCATATGGTTACCATGCTACTTAGTTTTATGAAGTATTTACCTGAAATAGTCTTTGTAGCAAATTTTAGGATGAATGTAAAATTTCTTAATTCTACATTGGCATTATGTTATATTTTTTCCCCTCCAGAACATAACTGAAGACAGCTGTAGCACAATTAAAAGCATGGCGTCCTACTCAGAGAGATGTTATATATCTTTTATAAGTTTAGTGAAAAGATTTGAAGCTAAACAGGGATGCCAGAAGAATATTCCACAAAAGGTTTGTAAAACATATGTTTATTTTCTAACAAAATCTGAAAGTTTGTGCCTTTCACAAAAGTGGCTTGTCATACATTAGATTTCTTCTGTCTAAGGTTGTCACTTATTACCTGTAAATTTTCTAAATCTATATAAATCATATTGGCAATGTCTCAGAAACATATGATGTGTCAATGATTTAATCTTCAATCCGATTTGAGACATGGTATTTTTTTTTTATATAATCTCAAACCTGCCCCAACTGTTCATGGTTTTACACTTTGATTTGTAAATCAAGCTGTCCATGGTATGTGAAATGAAAAAGAACGAAATACTGCCAACAGTAGAAATAACAAGAAAATATGTCTACTGTGCACTGATGCCCGTCATTTTCAATATTAATTAGACTATGAAATGGGGGCCTAGCCCTAATTTAGCTGTGCGTTATAAGTTATATGGTTCCCTACTGACCCCCTACAGATCCATAGAGGGTTAGTAAAATTCATAGATGAGGCTGTAGGACTTTTTCTGCAGCGTTTTGTAGAAAAATAAGCAATAAGACAACATTAATAGATGACATCACCATTAACAATAGACGTGACGTCATGAATCACCTATGAAATTTAATAACCCCTACTGATCCATAGGGGGTGACCGGGTCACCACATGACACTCTATGTAAAGAATTATTAAATTTACTACACCCTACAACTTTTATTTAAGGTAGATTCATGGTATACCGCCATCTTGGATTGTACAATCACAGTACAAAATGGGTCTAGTTATTTGCCTAAATCTGCAAATTTGGAGACAGATTTGCAATTTAATGTTTAGACTGTTTATTTATATAAAGAAAACTTGGGGAATTATTGTATTATACAAAATATTTAAACAAATATCATTTTTTTTTGTTTTTAGAATCATTTTTCTCAAATGAGCCATTTAAGGAGAGATAACTCTTTTAGTAAAAAAATTATACTAGACTGATAGGGAAATTTTTAATTTATACTTGTAGCAAGAAAACAAGTTCGGTGACACCATTTTTTCTTTTTATTTTCTCAAAACATATTATAAAACCTATCTTCTCACAATTTATTTCAAAATTATATCTCATAGAATTTTTTTTATGCACACAAATGTGTTTTTTCATGAACAATCTTACCAAATTAAGGCAATTTTCAACGACTCATAGCTTGAAAAATAGCACTTTTCATTATATTTTTGAAAAAAGCATAGTAAAATCTTCATTCTGGCAAAGTATAAGAAAATTCTATCTCAAAAAATTTATACTTATGATCTACCTTAAATCATCTGAATTATTCAATTTTGTTAATTATATTACCGTAAAAACCATTTTCTGTTACAGCTATTCCGGGCTTTACAAGGTCTTTCTGAGGAGACAACATTTTCTTATCTAAGCCTTGCTTCTGAAGAGGGATTGGACAAGACGGCAGGAAATGTCTATAGGCTAAAGGCAAGAAAAAGCTTGCAGACATTTTTATGTCAAGCAGTTGGAAAAGACAATTGGGAAGAGGCATACAGAGTGTACCCTGAGGTTTCAAATAAAATTGAAGAGCTAGTTGGTAAGAACATAACTATTTTTAAATAAAGGAATCATATGTACAGTCAAACCTGTCTTAAGAAATCATGATCTTTCAAGGAAGAGCAAGCATCTAGTGAAAATGTACAGGTGGTCTTTATATTTATGGGTTCATTTCAGATAGAATACAATACAAGGGGTATCTTGATTAAAGCATTTTTACACAGGTTATTGCATACATGAGGTGGTGGCTGTCTCAGGTTTGACTGTACATACATCAACAACAATATATAGTTAATATTTTTAACAAGAAAATTCTGTTTTTCTGTAAGAACTACATCAAAGTAACTTGTATAACAAGTAATATACATATATACAACAAAGGAGCTGTCTAAAAAATATATTCATACTATAATAAAACATTTGATGTTTGGATTGAATTAAGAAACTGTACTCAAACTAAATGTTGCATCCAGAAAAAAACAGCTAATTATGTTTCTAGTGCATTTATCCCACCTTAAATCTGTTATAGTTAAGTTCTCACAATTGACTAAAAACACAATATGATGTAAAAGATTCATGTGAGCTTATGTCATCACTTGGCATATGTCCAGCTTGTCTATTGTCTACCAATTACATTTTACAAAAATGTTTTCTTCTGACGCGATATATCTGATGAAGCTTATTTTTTTGTCTCAATCATTTTAAAGACATGAAGTTCAAAAATGGATCTTTCATATTTTCAGTCAAAACAAAATGGCAGCTATAGCTTTAAATATAACATGTGGGTTAATTTGGCTTTACATACAACATGTGGGTAAATTCCCCTATTTGGGCCTCATTGGCATAATATCTCTTTGACTAGAATTCCAAAGAGATTGAAAAAATTAAAAAATACTCCAGAGGCAACATCAAAAGCTCTCCTATTAGTAGTCTTAAATAAGACCTAGACATTGATTGTGAAAAATGATTTAAATACATATCTTTTATTTCAGAAAAAAAAATCAGAAGAAAATTTGTTCCGGAAGTGTTCAGTGCATACTGTCATTCACTAACAACAAGACCAGTTTGTAACAATGAAGAAGAGACACAACCTCCTGCTCCTGAACATGCTAATAGAGATGAATCAGAAGCTGAGACACAACCACCTGCTCCTGAACATGCTAATAGAGATGAATCAGAAGCTGAGACACAACCACCTGCTCCTGAACCTTCAACTCCAAATTTTGATATTGAAATTATTATTAAAACTAAGGGAAAGGAAATTGTAATTACTGAGGAAGCCCAGAGAGTTATTGATTTTCATAAATCTATTCTAGATAAAGCTCTTACAAAAGTACTGCCTTTGGAAGAGTAAAATAAACCTTTAATGTAATTTATAAGTCACTTCCAAATCTTGTAAACACTGACTTTTCTAAAAGCTTCATTATTTTGTGCTCCATCATACCCTGTAGTGTAATAGATAAAAAAAATAATCTGAAAAAAAAGTATTATTTTCTTTTGTAAAAATAGAATTATCATTTAAGATTAAACAAGGACTACACAAGTCTTTAGTAGATAGAAGTTGACCAACTTATTTTAAAATGAGATTTTGAGTGGATCAACAGTGGAAATCACTAAATTTTTGTTATTTTCCAACAAAATTCAAAAATATTTACTTTGACTTAAATGTCAGACAAAAATGTACAAAAAATATACATTCATTCACAACGTCCTGCTCCTGAACATGCAATTAGAGATGAATCGGAAGCCGAGACACAACCTTCTGCTCCTGAACCTTCAACTCAAACTTTTGATATTGATATTGTTATTAAAACTAAGGGAAAAGAAATTGTAATTACTGAGGAAGCCCAGAGAGTTATTGATTTTCATAAATCTATTCTAGATAAAGCTCTTACAAAAGTACTGCCTTTGGAAGAGTAAAATAAACCTTTAATGTAATTTATACATCACTTCCAAAGCTTGTAAACACTGACTTTTCTAAAAGCTTCATTATTTTGTGCTCCATCATACCCTATAGTGTAATAGATAAAAAAAAAAAACAATCTGAAAAAAAATATTATTTTCTTTTGTAAAAATAGAATTATCAATTAAGATTAAACAAGGACTACACAAGTCTTTAGTAGATAGAAGTTGACCAACTTATTTTAAAATGAGATTTTCAGTGGATCAACAGTGGAAATCACGTGATATTTTTGTTATTATCCAACAAAATTCAAAAATATTTACTTTGACTTAAATGTCAGACAAAAATGTACAAAAAACATACATTCATTCACAACGTCCTGCTCCTGAACATGCTAATAGAGATGAATCGGAAGCCAAGACACAACCACCTGCTCCTGAACCTTCAACTCAAACTTTTGATATTGATATTGTAATTACTGAGGAAGCCCAGAGAGTTATTGATTTTCATAAATCTATTCTAGATAAAGCTCTTACAAAAGTACTGCCTTTGGAAAAGTAAAATAAACCTTTAATGCATTTTATAAGTTACTTCCAAATCTTGTAAAAACTGACTTTTCTAAGAGCTTCATTATTTTGTGCTCCATCATACCCTGTAGTGTAATAGATTAAAAAAAAAATCTGAAAAAAATTATTATTTTAGTAGATAGAAGTTGACCAATTTATCTTAAAATGAGATATTGAGTGGATCAACAGTGGAATCACGTGAAATTTTTTTTATTATCCAACAAAATTAAAAAAATATTTACTCAATGGACTTAAACGATAAACGATAAAAATGTTCAAATTAGCAATACTGTAAATATACATTTATTCTGATATACACTAGTATTAAGCTGATTTCAAAACATGGACATTGCTATTTTCTTTTATGGGGATACCCATTTTGTATCCATTACTCCTCCTAAACCACAAATCATAACTTAAAGAAACTTTCTCAAATTCCTCAAGTTATAATGCCATTGTGCATCTATTCTATTTTATGTTCAAATTGATTTTGGGGTTTCAAATACAAAACAAGTGGCAGGCAGTATAGCTTTGTGCTCACAGTACCTGTCTAGTTTAGTTTTAACATCCATGTCAATTGTGAAATTTTCTATTTCATATCAATTAAGTAATGAAATTCATTAAGTTTTATATATATATGCAATATTTTTTTTCATTATAGATGTAGATAATTTATAAATACTTTGCAGATAATTGTATTTCTGCCAATGCCTTAAACAGATTTTTTTTTTGCTAAAAAGATGTAAATGAATTGTTTGATCTATGCACAGGGAAATAATCAAATGTATATTTGTTCATAGTTAAGAGTAGAATACATACTGTCATTTCCTTTTCATTTTTAGACTCATATTTCATTCTCCATATATATTTAATGGTCATAAATGTTATTAAATGTATTTCACACTAAGTCTTATGAAATTTAAGCAACATCACACAGTGAAGATCCTACAATTAGATTTTTTTCAAAATTTTAAATGAAAGTCAAGTTTAATGTGCACTTCTGTAATATGCAAAGAAGAACAAAATATTTTCATGATTAACTTTCAAAGATATTATATTGATTTTTGTTTTCTTTTCAAAAACTGTTATCGAGATTCCAGTGAATAGATACTACACATTTTAATAAGCCCGTTTACGGGACGTATTATGGTATACCGTTGTCCGTCTGTCCGTCCGTCGTCAACATGTCGGACATTAACTCAAAAATGCTTTAACCAATTTGCATAAAACTTTGGTGAATGATTTATATCTATTGACGTGAGCTCCCTTTCGTTTTTTATAAAATTTAGATTTTACGTTTCCGAGTTATGGGGTTTTATTCATTAAAAAAAGAGGGATTTTCCAGTTTTTGGACAATAAGACAAGAATGCTTTCACCAACTTGCAAGAAATTGTGGTGAATTGTTTATATCTATTGACATGAGCTCCCTGTCGATTTTCATAAATTTCAGATTTTACGTTTCCGAGTTACAGGGTTTTATTCATAAAAAAAGGGGGAATTTTCCAGTTTTTTGGACAAAAACTCGAAAATACTTTCAGCAATTTTTATGAAACTTTGGGGAATTGTTTGTATGTATTGATGTAAGCTCCCTTTCGAATGTTATAAATTTTACATTTTACATTTTTGAGTTATGGGGTTTGATTCATTAAAAAAGGGGTGATTTTCCAGTTTTCGGACAATAACTCAAAAATGCTGTCACCAATTCTCATAAAACTTTGGTGAATTGTTTATATCTATTGATGTAAGCTCTCTTTTTATTTTCATATATTTCTAATATGACATTGAGAATTAATTGAACTTTATTTGTTTATAGTCTGACAACAGATTTACTAAGTATTGCACAACAGCAAGAAATCTTTAATTGAATATAAATTCAATTCATACAACCAATTTCAAGATCTTTGACTACATTTATTCAGAAACCTATAATATGTCAAATATTTAATTACAATCCAAATTCAGACCTGAATCAAGCTTGAATATTGTGTCCATTTTTGCCCAAACTGTTCAGGGTTGGACCTCTGTGGGCGTATCAAGCTGCATTCAGCGAAGCAGTTTATTATATTTTGTAATATCATACAGAATTATAATATTGAAAACTGTTGGCTCTAACATCCTTGAAGCAGTTTCAAGCCAATTGCAAAAGTAAAATATGGGGGTCCATGTGGTAGTTTTTTTTAGCTTAATGCAGCAAATATCATATATTTAAAGCTTTTCACCATTTCCCGTTTCAGGCTAGATTACTTTGTAGTGTATTCATAATGCAACATCATCGTGCAGCCATTTCTGCTGTTTATATAAACATTATACATGTTTTTTTAACTGTTATTTTCTAAGTCATTAATGAGAAAAAAATTAAACAGCCTTCATTTTGCCTTGAATATTATGTCCCCTTGTAAATTTCACATGCTTACATCTTGGATTATACAGCATCTGCATTTTAACTGAAAAAAACTACTATGTAACTCACATCACCAGTTTGATGATGTAATGAATTTTCTGTGAATTGTTAATGCTTATCATTATTATTGAGGACATATTCATTTTTTATTATATTCATGCTCATTACCGCATTAGAGTTGTCTTATATTTTTTGTAATTTCAACATGTGACACAATAATAATATATATTGAGAGTAAAAAACACAAATATGAAATAAAATATCATAGTACTGACATTTTGTAATTTTTTACATGTATGTTCAAAGAAGGATCAGGCAAAGTACATTAAAAGTACAACCAAATAATTTTGACATTCAGGATCAAAAATCGAGAACTGTGTAAATTGCCAATGAGACAATTTAACAACCTAAGTATGAAAATTCAGATTAATTTCAAACTACAACTAAGTGCGTTTCACAGGATCAGTTATTGTCCTCTATTTTGTGTACTGCACAGTATTTGTTATCATCACCTGGTCTGTGTAGCACACTGGATTTTTCATTTTTGTTACCATCAACTTGTCTGTGCGGCACACAGGATTTATTACTATGTCTGGTCTGTGCGCCACACAGGGTTTATATTCATCACCTGGTCTGTGTGACACACAGATATAAATTCTTCACCTGGTATGTGCACAGCACAGGATTAATTTATATTATTAACCTGGTCTGTGTGTCCCAGATTTATATTCTTCTTTTTGTCTGTGCGCCACACAGGATTTATATTAATTCTTCACCTGGTCTGTGTGTCGCACAGGATTTATAATCTTCACTTTGGTATGTGCGCCGCACAGGATTTATAATCTTCACTTGATTTGTGCGCCACACAGGATTTATAGTTTTCACCTGGTCTGTGCGCCGCACAGGATTTATAATCTTCAGTTCGTCTGTGCGCCGCACAGGATTTATAGTTTTCACCTGGTCTGTGCGCAGCACAGGATTTATAGTTTTCACCTTGTCTGTGCGCCGCACAGGATTTATAATCTTCAGTTGGTCTGTGCGCTGCACAGGATTTATAGTTTTCACCTGGTCTGTGCGCCGCACAGGATTTATAATCTTCACTTGGTCTGTGCGCCGCACAGGATTTATATTCTTCACCTGGTCTGTGCGCCGCACAGGATTTATAATCTTCACTTGGTCTGTGCACCGCACAGGATTTATAATCTTCACTTTGTCTGTGCGGCGCACAGGATTTATATTCATCAATAGGTCTGTGTGCTGCATGGGATTTTTTTCCATGATGTGATATTTAATTGGTCAACTATTGTTACCATGGTAACAAGCTCTGACATGTAAATATCCATTAAATCCATGATTTAGTTAAATTCCAAATTAAATAATTACTCCAAATTTAATTAATAGAGTGTTATATGTTGTTTTATTATTACTTGATGATATTTTGTCTTTACTTTAATAATATTGTTTTGACATTACGTAATGATGTTTTGATATAACTCAATATGGAATAGTCATTACTTAATGATATTTCGATATTACACGATATGGTTTCGTATTGACTTGATATTCATACAAATTCAGATACAAATTATTCTGTTCTGCTATCTTTTCTATGTCTTTCACTCGTTGTTCTGAGTAGAGAAAGTTCCTCTTACTCTGATATATAACCAATGGTCGTGGCTTCTCTTGACATCCTTATTAAAGGCTTCATTATCTTGTTTCTCTATCAGCCCTTGTTCTTTTAAGGTTTCACAGTTGGCTTTTAGTATCGTTGTTTCTCCTTCCACTTCAAGTAAGATAGTCTTTTGTGGAAGGTCTAGTGTGATTTTTTATCTCCCCCTTTTTGTGGATATATGGAACAGATTATCCAACACAATATGACACATGCTAACATGGAAGTGACAAAAGTTCATGTTGTGTCATTTAGTTGCTGTCACATTGACGTGTGGTATTTATAGAACAGATTAGCAAACACACTATGACACATGCTAACACGGAAGTGACAAAAGTTCATGTTGTGTCGTTTAGTTGCTGTCCCATTGGCGTGTGGTATTTATGGAACGAACAGCTTTATTACCCAATGAAATACCGGTATGTTTTAGGTGATACCCAACACCTTGACTAAGGGAGCTACCATTTGATTTTTTTTTGGGGGGGGGGGGGGGGGCTAGGATGAGAAATGTTGTCCTGCACTTTTTTTAGTTGTAATCTCTGTCCTGCCTTTTTATTTTTCACTCTATTTGGTCCTGCCTTTTTTTTTATTAGTTTATCCTGACTTTTTTTTTACATAAATTGTCATCCTGCTTTTTTTTTTTGCAGTTGTTGCTCATCCTGCCTTTTTTTTTACTCCAAATTCCTGTCCTGCCTTTTTTTCAAATTTCATCCTATCCCCCCCCCCCCCACCCCCTAAAAATCAAATGGTAGCTCCCTAAAATAGAATTGGTTCGTTTAATTTTCATAGAATTAAGACAAAATATTTACTTTGACCTTTTGACCAAAGTATACAAATTTTTAGAAATTTTAACCACACATTTGATCATTGAGAAGCTTAAATTAGTAGTGAATTATTAAAACGTTCCGTTGATTTTTAAATAGTTACCTCCCTTAATTGTTCTGTACCCCCTTAACATATCAGTCCTCTGCAGGTTGGGATGTTTTGACATCTGCGAATACGATCAAATAAAAACGGACAGTCATACATTATTTGTATTGTATTGCATATTGCAAATCTAAAGAAGAATTTTTATAAACTAATGAAGGAATTTTCTGTCTATGAAAAGTAACATAAAAAATGTGGTGCACACTGAATAACGCATAAAACATACAGAAGTTGCCTTTAAATTTCTATTATATATTGATATTGACAAGTTTGAAGTAAAATGTAAAGTCATTTTCGATACAAAGTTTTCATAATTTTAAAATTAATTAAAAGAATGCAAACATCTTTTGATTATCATAGAAGGATGTTCGCTACTCTGTTTTAAAATAACAAGCCTTTTTATAAGACTGTTATGAATTGATAGTATATAAATAAAGAAGCAGAAAAAAATGAAAAAAATGAAGGGTCCGTGCGCTTGTTTTCGAGATATAAGTCATTGAAAATTTTGCGGGAAATAATTCTCTCTAGATTTTTCATACATTTAACATTTGCACCTTTTTTCTTTAAAAAACGATGATTTTGTAAGATTTTCAAGTATGACATTTTAAACTATATGTAATCAAATTATGGGAAGAAAAGTAGGGGTTAATGGGCAAAATTTTTAATGGCACTACATTGATA